GAACAAAATTTCCTTAGAAACGGTACTGATATTTTCGTTTTCATCACGACCGACCAAAACTGATGTTTTGGGGGCAAATTGGTTTTCCAATTTCGCAGATGAAGTCCAAATGTATTTGCAATGGGACAAATATCCAGCATGACAAAATTCATAACAATACAAATTTTTATTTGTTAAAAAACAGGTGCGAGAGGGGCGGTAAAACAGCCAACGAAAAACATGTTATTATAAATGTAGATTGGTGGGGTGCGCCGAGCGGAATGACCAGAGAGTAAAAATGGTTCAAAGAGCAAAACGAACTAATTATCTATCTATCACTACAATTAGTTGTCATTTTTTCGCACCGCTATTAAACATTCGAAGATTTATTATGCTATGCGGAAAGCGTAGCACAGTTTATTTATGCGTTGCGAAATAATCTGCATTCAAAATTGTTTCAGCTTCAAGTAGGCCTGCTAGTTGGCCTGCTAGTTGGTCAAATTAATTGGGTTAGGGCTGAAATTTCAACGCAGCGCAATATTAGGACGGCTGGAGAACCAAAAAACAGTCAATCACTAGTCAAACTGCCCTGCCCAGGTTGAAGTTCCACCGTTAATTATCGCTTTTTCTGTAGTATCCCTGTGATGGCAATTTTCCAGCGCTGGTTCATGTATAATTCAAAGTTTTTTGCATAGCTGAACCTGCGATATGTCAGAGTTAGTTCAGTAATGACTCCGTAGAAAATCAACGCTAACACCTATGAAACTTTAACTCATTCTAGTAGCTTTCAAAGGAAAGTCTTAGTTGATAAGCCGTTCAAATTGAGTATATCTGTGGCTTGATGGCAAACAGGTAGCATACATGTCTACAAAGCTGTTAGATGCGCTGTTACAAATCTGTCTACAAAGCTGTTACATTTTCATTGTGAGCTCAACCCTGGTGTAGAAAAATTGAGATCATTTACATAGCAGTCTGAAGAAGTAAGCTTTCCGTCTGATATAAGAGAAGACCTGTTCTTCTAATAGATGATTCTTCTAATTGGGCAAAAATTCTTAACAATTTGCTCCTAGTGAGCGACCGAATGCTACAAGTGGCGTCCGCATGGTGGAGAGATCGAATGATGGAAATTTATTTTCAGTTAACCACAGCCAATCATAATTTAAAACGAAATTGCAAAAACCTCAAAATCAGCGAATAAGTCTAGCTCGCTAAAGCTTTCTTCTAAAACTTATTGTGATTTTAGCCGATTGCAGATATATGAATATTCAAACACTGCTAGATTAAAGACATCTGGGAAAAAGTTACTTATATTCAGAGATACAGTTTAACAAAGTTTGAAAACAAAACACCCAATTCGTTCTATCTGCAAAGACTCTGCATGCTATAATTAATTTTCTGCTAACCTTGATTTCAGTTCAATAGAAAAATTTATCAGCAAAAACGAACGTCTACTGATTCTGGTTGGTTGAAACTTTTCCATCATTAGGTCCCTCCATCATGAGAATACTCCCCTCCGCTAAAAATTAAAAATTAAAACCACGATAATCCGTCAGATTCTGTTTGTTTGGATATTGAGCTAGATCTTCTCTTGAACTATTCTTCTCTTCAACTGATCGCCATAAAGTTCCAAGATCATGATAATTTTTTTAGAAAGAAAGCAACCTAAGCCAGTTGAAAAAATGCTAACGCATTCAAAGGCATTTCCTTACACTGTGGGATAACATCAAAATTTCTGCCAAAATTCAAAATTTCTTGCTAAGTAATTTTCATAATGCTTTATCTACAGGTCAGGTCATTAATGAATTTTCTGTTATAAGAAAAGTACATATGTATAACTGGACGAAAAAACTAAAATCTAGATTAGCATAAAATTGAGTTGAAAAAAAAAAACGAAAACTAAGACTTGAGCATCACATGAACCCACTATTTCGGCAATAGCTTTGAATCCGTCCCCACCCGCCGCCACTTGATTGATCGATCCCTGCTCCACCTCGAGTTTGTACCTGTTGTAGCTGATATCATTTTTGGGGTAGAAAAACATCACACAGAACTCCTCATCTTTCCCATTTTTAGAAACTGCCTCCAATTCACCCCCTGCCAATTCAGGGAAATCTGGAAAAAAATCATGCTGTTCAAAACGGGATCTAAACCTAAGCAGTGGTGAATTGGGGATGCCAATTTTTGAGACTTTTGACTATTTTTTTAATCCTTTGTAGTTTTTTTTTCGAAATATCCTCAAATTCTGAGCAATTTTTTGTGCAGTGAGCTGAACCGTAGATATCTTGAGAAAATGCCTTTTTGAATCTTTTGATAGGAAAACTGCAATTTTTGGACGCGACTTCACCGTAAATTAATTCACAATTGGGCACCAGGGCACATATAGAAAAATCAAAGTTCAAACAAATAGAAACTGAAGAAGATGAAAATTGATGCATAGGCGTTTGACAAGGTTCACTACGAGACTTTTGTCTGTACCTCTTAACAGGAGCTTTCATTTCTATCATATTTTTCAAATATGTATGAGAACTTTCAGTGATATGTCAACACTGCTGGGTAAAAAGTTATTTTCGTAAAATCTTTCTAACTTGCAGGGGAGGGGTAGTAATCCACTTTACTTCGCCCTCTTTTGTTTTTTCTGTTTTCTCGACGTGTAGTAATGGTGAGCAAACATATTAGCACAAGAAGCAAAAAAGACCACAAACATATTAATTAGCTTGACATGAAAAAAAAACACATTAGTTACAATCCCCCCTTTCATTAAAGAGGGAAGATTTTTCTACCAATCAGAGTGCTGCAAATTTCGAATTCTCAATACAAGCTTCAGAGCTACTTTACTTTATTTTTATAGAGATGGAGATTCTTTTGTAGATACCATAGGGGAAGGGGGAGATTGTTAAGAAGAGACCCTACTTGTTACCTGTCATTGCAGAGCAGCTCTGATCAGTTGAGCTTGGATAGATGTCAATCACATCTCCCGGACCCTCGTCAAAGAAACTCAAAATTTGTAACAACTCAAAAGTGTAGAATGTTCCGGACTTCAAACCATCCATTTTAATAGTGATGTTGTCGGAACTTTCGTCTGATCTATCTACAGCATAGTAGCCATAGTTAGGAGTCAAGAGTCCTTTCACGTTGAATGGAGTGATATGGCCTGACCGTCTCGATCGCCGAAATGTTGGGGAGAAATTTTCTATCAACTTGCAGACGAAGGAGTTGGCTGATATCGAAGTGGCAGGTTTTAACAGAGGTGGCACGGGGATGCTGGCACGTACTAAAATAGAGAAGATGTACAGACAAATCAGCAAAAAAAAGCCGAACAAAATGCTGTGTACCCGTAGTCATTCATAAAAAACTTGAAAATTATTTTTTTTCTTTTATCATCCATTTTTAGTGTCGTATTTTTTGTGCGCAGTATGATGACAGAGAGAACTATATGAACTCGTAGAAAGTTTGTGAATTAAGCATAAACGATAACAGCTGTATTCGAACAATAAATACCAAATAAAAATGTTGAAACCTTTCTACAACTGTTCTATTTTTTTTCTGCAGAATAATTTTTTGATTGCTTAAACTGATTTGCGGTCTATCGTTTTCACACGTCTGTTTTCACTATTTTCAAGGAGCAGTTTTTAACATTGTTTTTGCTCACGTGTGTTGAAAATAGAACAAAAAACTGACCAGTCAATTCTAAAACAAATTATAAAGTCTGGCACTTCACATTGGCTGTACGAAATGTAAGAAAACTTTATTATCGAATTTCATGAAAAGTTTAAAATTAAGCAGTTTACAAACTCAACCATTTTAAGACGTAACAAGAATAGCCGTTGCTGTGAAAGCACCATAGAAATTTTCTACTCCGGGACATTCTATACTTTTTTGTTCGTTCTGTTGAGCGCATCTGAACGAAAATCAATTTAGAAAAAAATTAGAATTAAGAGAAAACAACGCATATATGACAATGGTTTCCATCAACAATTTAATCGAAAAACAAAAAATCAAACAAAAAAATTGTAATTTTTCAATCACTTCGCAGAATTTTGTGGGTTTTTTAATGATTCATTTGTGTCCAAGAAGGCGCTAGAAGACGCTTCAAAAACTAATATCTTGAGTAAAACAAAACTGTTGCGTTTTATTTTGCATATCATAAGCTGGCTCGCTCGCTCGTTTTATTTGCTCGAAGATGGACAAAAAAGTTTAAACCGGTTTTCTCAACATTGCGGAGGTTTTTAAAAAGGTTTAATGAGGTGTCATATAGTGTTCATTTAGTTCAGGAGAGTCTAACTTACAGCCATCAATCAACTGTCAATCGTGGTGCTAATGAGTCTGTTAGCAGGTGTTGTCCTTGGCATAGTCTGTCACCCTTGGTCGACCTCTAGTGTTACTCTTAATGTTAACTTTGTGAGATCAAGTTGCTTATCATTTGGAATTTACATATTGGACAATCAATCTTTTCAACATGGCGCAGTCAGCAGTCACAAGTGGGAAGAAGAATCCACTTGGTATAATCGGATTCTGGCGAGCAAAATGCGTTGAGCCACCAGTGCTATTGGAGTTCTGGATGAACAGATTTCAATGGGGGATGCTGGCAAAGCATTCGATTAACCCGAAAAACTACTACTTCGCAGCATATTTTACGGAAGCTCAGGTCAACGATCTACATGGGGAAGTTGTCGGGACGAACCGACTAGAATCAGAGCAAACACTCAATTCCAACTTGTACCTGTGCCAGGGCGAAAAAGGACAGGACGAGCTACACAAAAGAAGACCACACCTAGACCTATCAACGATTCGCTATCCAAGAATGTTGGACGTAAAACAGAACCAATAGAAGCGCTGACGCCACCGCGGACTTTAACGCAATTAAAATTGTTTATGGGGTCAATCCACAGCAATCATAAGTATTTGCTGGCTTTAGCTGAATCGTCGTAGACGTTACGGCCGTTACTAAGTAAAAGTAATGAATGTATTTGGACGCCAGAAAGCCAGAATGCATTTGAAAATCTGAAGAAACAAGTGTCCATCAATGTTGAACTGCGACATTTTGATATCCACAAGGATATTTGAACCGGGTGCGATGCGAGCCAGAACGGTTTAGGTGCCGTACTCGAGCATTTAGGACCGGAAGGGTGGAGACCGATTTCATTTTCCTCACGATATCTAAATGAGGCGGAGAAGAAATATTCAAAAAGCGAATTAGAAATGTTGACAGTAGTATGGGGGGCTGAATATTTCCTTAATATATACTGGGAAAAATTTTTATAACAGTGACAGATCACAAAGCGCTAATCTCTTTTTTAAACGGCAATAATAAGAAAAACAAGACAATTTTCAGCCGCTTAACGCGTTGGTTGGACTGATTTATCCCAAATGCTTTTCAAGTAGAACATAAACCAGGGAAAAAGTTGGGCGGGCGGATTTTTTATCACGACATCCAAGTAAAGAAGCAACGCCAATTAGTACGTATGATAATATTTTTACAGTAGCGAAAATAAATGTAATACGTACCGCTCTTGGGTTTGGTAAAAGTATTGCATCCAGGGGATCAAATACATGCAATAATATATCCAAGGGACAGCATATCAAAGCGAAAAATAAACAATCTATAAATAGATTGGAATTTTCGTCACGAGATCAGCCGGTAGAGGGCGGGAAGTCATGCGAGCGAGAACCAACAAATCAGAATCGAACACATGGCTTAAGCCAACAGCTACGCAATTTACGCAGAAATTTAGTCGGTGCTTTTACTCAATCGAAGGAAAGTTGTTTCAAATTATCAAATTCAAAAAGTCTCAATTCAAAAACTCAAATAAAAAATGCAGAAAATCTTAAAACAACACCCAAGCTTAGACAGTAGCAGTGACGAAAGAGAAGAATTATCACCGGGTTCAAACTTAGAAGCAATCACAAAAGAAACAAAATCAGTCAAAACAAACATTACCCTATCGTTACCATCGGCATTCAAAGACGAGACAATCCCAACAGTGGACCCGAATTTGGTATGAATGTCAATTTTACCCCATAATTACAAAAATTGTAAGCAAGATTACCTCACTTCCCGATTTGTTCAACTTAAAATTTATAGTCAAATTAAATTTCTGAACCCCAAAATAGCGCGATTAGAGACTTAATAGTTTCGAAAAACCCAAAAATCCACGACAAAGTTACCGCTATGAGCCGCTATTACTCCCAATTCGTTAATTATTTCTACTTAAAGGAAATGCTGTTTGGATGGACGAAAAACTCGTGATACCGATGAACATCGAAATTGCAATTAACAATAGAATCCACGCTTTCCACCACGGAAAGACCAATATTTTGATGCCGCAAAAGACTTCTGGTATCCCTACATTTACCGGTCAATAGCCTCAATAGCCGAGGACTGCCCAGTATGCACCGCCGCCGGTAAGAACTTGAAACCCATTTTAAATAAGAATCAGCTTGGAAATATACCTGAACCGAAGCAACCCAACGAATCAGTTCAACTTGATTTTTGGGGCCCCAATAGCTATTTAAATTATTCCCAGAAATACGTGTTAGTGGCAGTCGATCGGTTCTCTCGTTTGCCACCGGCGATGGTCTGTGAAAATAACCTGTTTGATAAAACAATGAAATTTTTGAAAAGTTATATATTAAACCACGGGGTGCCAAGAAAGATTCACGTGAACCAGTATTTTAGACTTTTTCGTTCGTTCTGTTGAGCGCATCTGAACGAAAATCAATTTAAAAAAAAATGAAATTTAAGAGAAAACAACGCATATCTGACAATGGTTTCCATCAAAAATTTAATCGAAAAACGTAAAATCAAACAAAAAAATTGTAATTTTCAATCATTTTGCAGAATTTTTTGGGTTTTGTAATGATTCATTTGTGTCAAAGAAGGCGCTAGAAGACGCTTCAAAAACTAATATCTTGAGTAAAACAAAACTGTTGCGTTTTATTTTGCATACCATAAGCTGGCTCGCTCGCTCGTTTTATTTGCTCAAAGATGGACAAAAAAGTTTAAGCCGGTTTTCTCAACATTGCGGAGGTTTTTAAAAATGTTTAATGAGGTGTCATATAGTGTTCATTTAGTTCAGGAGAGTCTAACTTACAGCCATCAATCAACTGTCAGTCGTGGTGCTAATGAGTCTGTTAGCCGGTGCTGTCCTTGGCGTAGTCTGTCACCCTTGGTCGACCTCTAGTGTTACTCTTATTGTTAACTTTGTGAGATCAAGTTGCATATCATTTGGAATTTAAAGATTGGACCATCAATCTTTTCAACATGGCGCAGTCAGCAGTCACAAGTGATAAGAAAATCCATTGGTACCACCGGATTCTGGCGAGCAAAATGCGTTGAGCCACCAATGCTATTGGAGTTCTGGATGAACAGATTTCAATGGGGGATACTGGCAAAGCACTTGATTAACCCGAAAACTACTACTTCGCAGCAAATTTTACGGAAGCTCAGGTCAACGATCTACCAGGGGAAGTCGTCCGGAAGAACCGACTAGAATCAGAGCAAACACTCATTTCCAACTTGTACCTGTGCCTGGGTGAAAAAGGACAGGACGAGCTACACAAAAGACGACCACACCTAGACCTATCAACGATTCGCTATCCAAGAATGTTGGACGCACTGGAAACCAAATTCAAAAATGAAAGAAACGAGACTTACAAGACATTCCATCTTGTCTCTCGAAAACAGTTGATCAATGAAAGTCTGGAGTAGTTCCGCTCTGTTCTAAGCGGACTGGCGGCCCCATGCAATTTTGGAACGTTGGAATATCGTATCCTCAGGGACGTATTCATCGTAAATATGAATAACCGCGAAGCACAAAAGGAATTGTGCAGATCAACCAAAACACCAGAGGAGGTCTATAAGATCGCCCTCTCGTACGAGCGAGGCAATAAGTATGCGACATCTTACGTGGCAACCTCAGCCGGGGGACCCACGGGAACCCAGGGATCATCATCAGGGGTGGAATCCAAATCAAAACAGAACCGGTGGGGACTTTACGAGGAGGATTTCGCAACAACCGTGCAAGGGGCAGAGGCACATACCAGGGACGAGACTCAAACCGGGGGGAGGGGAATCTGCTCCAAAACAATCGATGCTACAACTGCGACCAACCAAATTTTACACGAGAACATTTGGATAGATGCCCAGCGAAAGGAACCATGTTTAATTTTTGCCGTAAAAGTGGACATTTCGAACGTACCTGTAGGGGGAAGCAAGGAAATCAGCGAAGTCGGGGAGCAGTAGGAATGATTCGTGAAAATGCCGACGATACA